GGTGGGAGGAGGAGGAGGAGGGGGGGGGAAGAAGCAGCAGCCCTGGACCAAGATGGGCACAGAATGGTGCAGGGAGGGCATGCAGACGGTGTGCAGGACCGTTAAGCCCTACTCCTTTTCCAGACCTCCGAGTGGGGGTGGCAGGACAACTGTGGAGCTCCTGGATGGGCCTGGGCTGGGAGTCTCGGCCTTACTGCTGCTGGTTCCCCTCGGCCTCTCCTCCGGTGAAGGCAAAGCTCCCAGGGGACAGCGGACAGTGTGGCCCGTGTGGGCCTGCATGGCGCACTCCAGCCAGAGCCTGCCCGGCTGTGCCCAGGGGTGGGAAGCAGTGTGTGGCTTGGTTCCCAGTGGCTCTGGGGGCCGGGCTGGGGCAGAAATTCCTGTGTCTGTGGCAGCTGCATCTTCTCAAGGCTGGGAATGCAGTATGGACCAGGGACTTATCAGGCGGAAGAAAACTCCCTCTGATAATGTAAAGGCGCCTGCAAAGAGCAGCGCATGGCAGGCAGGCAGGTTCAGGATTAACTTCAGCACGAGCTGTTTTGAGGCTTCCCAGAACTCGGGCACTGGGCACGCTGGGTGCCTGGTAGGGCGGTGGTCACAGGCTGATTCCAGATTTTATAGGAGCCGGATGGCACAAGGGCCCCACACGGGTGTGGACGATTCAGATCATGAGTGTTTGTCCATCGTGGAAAGGGGTGAGAGGAGCTCTGTGTAAAGGCTCTGGGTTCAATCCCCAGTGTAGAAGAAAAGAAAGGAACAGGTACTGATAATTCCTTGAGGTTCTCCTCCTGTGGGCCATGCACTGGGCCAGTCTGGATGGAACACTTTGGAGTCCGGTGAGATTTACCGCCTGTCGTGCACAAGATAAGACCACAGGGAATGTGGCCACTGAGGCGTCCCTGTCGGGTCCTGTGGGTCACCGGCTCCTTCGGGGAGTCTCGGAGGAGAGCAAGATACGGGTCTGTGGGGTCCGGGAAAGGGTTTCTGCCTGTGAGCTACCACTGCGCAGAACCAGCAGCCAGTGCCTTCCCACAGCATGGGTGGAGAAGACGAGGAAGACACCAAGGCAGAGGAGAGAGGCTGCCAGTGTGAGGGAAGAACTGGGAGGCAGTGGTGCCCGGGAGCTACGTGGGGAGGCCGCCCAAGCTGCCTGTGGGGCCCAGTGACAGCGGCAACTGCCCACCCACCTGCCCCACGCAGCCTCCGTCTTGGAACGTGTAGTCTACACTGACATTTTATACACTGCGTGTGTGTGTGTGTGTGTGTGTGTGTGTGTGTGTGTGTGTGTGGTGTTGGTGTATTTTTTTGTTTTGTTTTGTTTTTTTATTCCTGGGGATTGAACCCATGGACTTTGGACTTTGCACTGAGCTACACCCTAGCCCATTTTTTATTTTGAGAAAAAGTCTTGCAAAGTCATGAAGTTGCCCTGGCTAGGCTTGAACTTGCAATCCTCCTGCCTCAGCCTCCCAGAGTGCTGGGCTTATAGGCCTCTGCCACTCAGCCTGGCCCACTGCATGTATTTATAGTGCTACTGTTAATAAACACTGGCTCTCCATCCATACTCCACCCTCCTAGCCGGGGAGCTCCTGAGGGCAGGAGCTTGGTTTTGTTTAGAGGCCCTACAAATATCAGCTTCAGTGCAGCTCACAGAGTTTGGGGCAGCCCCTGTGTTGAGACCTGGACAGGCGGAGGACACAGAAGTTCCGGGGCAGGTGTCCAGCTGGGCCTGGGGGCCGTGATGCATGGCTTCCTGTTGCCCATGGGGATACAGCCGTTTGGCCAGATATCTGAGTCCTTAGATTAGGCCCTCCGCTGCGGGGACACCCGTGTGCTGGTGCTGTCCCACAAAAGCTTCCCCAGCACTGGGGGCTGTGACTCTGAGGCTGTGGATGGCGGGGGACCTGGCAAGCAGAGGTGACCAGAGAATGGACTTGGGAGACAAGAGTCAGGATATGTGTGGCTCTTTCTTTGCTGTTCTGGTTTACATGGAGCCAGGAACAATAAACATCCGTCTACAGAAGTCAGTGTTTCTCCGACCTCAGCATCAGACAAGCCACAGGCCCTGTGGCCAGAGATTCTGTTCCTCAGTTTCCCTCTCTGGGTGACCTTGAACCAAGCTTTCAAAACCAGAGAAAGGGCTCTGTCTTCAATGTGATAAATGTCTCTAAGAAAAGACAGCAGATTACCCCAGGGAAAGCTACTCATCAGCCTGTGGGTCACAGGGTGACAGCCTCGTGTTTGTGACACTGCGACTGCTGAGTCTAAAGCTTGATCGCAGCAGATTGGTGTGGCCCCCTCCCAGCCGTTCCAAGGGAGTCACTGTGACCCCAGGTAAGGCTGTGGCCTAAGAAGTGCTTAGTTATCTGCTGACTGGGGCCTAAGCGTGATGCTGGGACGCTGGCCAGGGGTACACACCCAAGGTCCTCTGCTGTCCTTCCTGTCCAGACTTGATCCCAATGCTCCCCAGGGAGCACGGCACCCCCTGGGGGACCCTGATTATCATGTCTGTCAGCTCCAGTCCCCTCTCTGTGTGGCCCAGAGCTCAGTGTCCCCAGGGCACCGGTGTGGGGAGGGTGGCACTTTCCTCAGGGCTGGATCAAGGTCCGGATCACAGGACAGACGGGACAGAGGGTCAGAGCCATGGCCTTGACAGCCCCTTCCCCGCTCCCCACACCCCTGCCCTCTACTCTGCCGTGACACAGCTCCTCACTGCTGGCCACAGGTCACAGTGCCCTCCTCACAAGCCTGACCCCTCCTGTTCCCGCCTCCCTCTCCCCATTTGCCTGGGGCACCTGGGATCTAACCCAGCAGGAGGAACCCCATCCCATCCCATCCCATCCCACCTGCCGACACTGCTTCCTCTGCCCCGGGCCACGCTGAGATGCAGGGACCCACAGTCTCCCCAGCCTGGAGGCCACGGTGACCCTCCACACCCCCAAATGCACACTGCTTTAGTCTGGGTCTGGAGGGACCCCCGGGTGTCGGAGGGCCCTGGATGTCCCCAGGGTGGCAGTGTTGGGAAGTGGGTCCTGGAGCGAGGTCCTCAGAGCGTGGGGTGCCCAGCAGGGCTGTGGGCCCCCCAGTCCCTCCCTGCTCTTCCCTTTGCTCCCTGGCTGTTGTGCGCGGGGTTTTCCTCCTCTCCTTATTCCACCTTGGTGTGCAAAGCAACAGGCCAACCAGTCACAGGCTGGAACCCAGGACCCACAAACTTATCAGTACCCAACAGCCTCCTCCGGATTTCCTGGGTGTTTGGGAAGCTGTGTGCTTCCCGCTTCCATACAGCCTGCTTCTTCGTCTGTTTCTTCTTCCTCCTAAAGAAAACACTCAATTCTAAGAATCTAGTTTTGGAAAATCAAGACAAAAACCCCTGAAAAACCAAACCCCCCAAAACCCCAGCCAAATCTCGCTGCTTTTGGTCCTGAATCCTTCTCCTGTTCTAGGACGGGAAGTCGCCTGCCACATGGATGAGGATGGAGGAGAAACGGAGAGCACAGACCCAAAACGACGAGGCCGGTGGTGACCAGGATGAGGGTTTGAGTCACAGGCACCGTGCTAAACCTTCCACATTTATTCACCGAATCCTGAAAGTAACCCTGGGCCTCATTTTGCAGAAGATGGAAGCAAAGCCCAGAGAGGTTAAGCAACATGTTGGCTGTTGCACAGTGGGCGAGAGTGTGGTGTGGCTGTGCTGGGGTCTGGGGACCCCTTGAGGGACGGGGGTTCTCAGCCTTTGCGCTGATCTGCCCAGAAGACGGCTTGGAGAAGTCAGCCCAGCAGGAGCCACGACCTCCAGTCCCCACCCTCCTCTGCTGACCCAGGGGTCTCTGGGGTGTTAGTGTCTCTGAGTTTCCACACAGTGACCTCACTTCCCCGGGGTAACGCTGTTGTTGATACCAAAAAATGAAAACAAAAGGGATTTTTAAAAAATTAGAACCAGATCACCAGGAAGAAAGTGAATTCCTCATAACAAAGGCGGTGGTATTAATCCGCTTTTTGGTGAGGAGCCATCATCTGCCAAGCTCCCATCCATGCAGGGGCCTCAGGGTTTCACTCCACAGGTCTGCGTGTCTAATTCAGAGGAGCCGGGTCATCCAGACTCAACGTGAAGCCATCTCATCGCGCACAAGAGCAGGTCGGGAAGCCTACCAGATGCTGGATTCCAGGTGTGCGCCACCACACCTGGCTTTTCTGTATAGTTTTACAACGTCAGTATTCAGGTCCATCTTACAACCGAAGGCATCCAGCGATGGCAAACATTTTTGGAGCTTCTGATCATACAAACAGCCTGTGGCAGCATGTAGGTTTGCCAAGGGCACAGGCTTAGTGGGAAGGCCGTGGACCTTGAACCATTTTAACGAACAAAATTTTTCAGAAATTGGATAAATATAAAAATATCTTAATTATCGCACTAATCGTTCTTGAAAAGAGTGGTAGGCAAACAATGTGGAAGTTTGTGCGCTGCGGAATTTGAATTTTTTCCCAGTGTACCAAGGACTCCAGCCAAGGATTTAATCATGCATTTCAGCTGCAATTAGTGCTGCCCTGCTGAGGACGGAGAGGAGAGGAGAGGAGGGGAGGGGAGATGGAGAAACATCTACCAATCCCAACCCCTCACCCTGTTTCTTCCAGAGCTCAGCTGAGCGCTCTATCCCTGAGTAAACCAGTCCCTTCCTTAAGCTTCATATTTTTGTTCATGAAATTGAGATGGGAAAGAAAGGCAGGCGGAAAGGAGGCAAGGACAAGGAGATCATAATTAAAGATTGCGCTTTTAAGACGACTGCAACTTCTGGGACCCCGTAGGTCAGCCAAGTGATCAATCTGTGGAAGCTTCCCTTGGTTAAACTGAGGCTCCTTTCCTTCCAGACCCATCCTACCCAACTTCCTCAGGACACTAACCGTCC